ATTCACACCTAGGCATCGAATATACAAATATCCTCATCTAAGTAATTTATCAACTCCAGTTACACCATTAGGTCATTCCATTTTAATCTATTCACCAACCCACAATTACACATGAATATCATTCATAATAATCAAGGTAAAGTAACAATAGTCATGTATGGAAAAAAACCAAGAAGCAATGAAACAAAAGGGGAAAACACTGCTGCATTCGCAGTGCGATGCCCATGCGAGCTCCTTCGCTTTGAGTTCGCAATGCAAACTCTAGGCGAACCAAAAAAATAAAATGGCAGTAGCGAAAGGTCCCATTGGTCACAGTGCGAATGCTGGGCAAACCTTCACCTTCAGCTTCGTTTAGACTCGAAGTGCGAGCATGACAGAATTGTCATGTTCGCTGGCCATTCACCTCAGTTTACAGTGAGAACCCTACGTTCCAAAACTTCATATCAACGTGAAACATTGAGTTCAAGGGGGTTTCAACCCCCATCTCTCAAAAGGATCAAGTAAAGAAAAACAAACACAACCACAACATTATAATAGCTTCAAAATCATGAACATAACATGAATCATACATATTCTTAGAGATAGAAAAAAATATGCCATAACCTAACTTTTTCCCATTCCCTATAAATACTCTAACCTTGAGTTTCTACCTATAATCCACCTCTAATACAAGATGAAGGAGTAAATGATGATGAAGATGAGATGATTTGATGAGGAAATGATGAATATCCAAGCTTTCTTCCTCTAGGGTTCCTTTTTCTTCTTTCTTTTCTTCCCCCTCCTTCTCTCTAACTTCTTTCTATCTTTCTCTTTATGTTGTCTCCAAAATGAAAGGGGAAGGAAAGGAAAATGATATAAGAAACTATCATTAAAGTTAGTAAGACTAACTTGGTTAAATGTCCAAAATTGAGGGTATCCAAAATATCTCTATTGTACAAATAATAAAACCTCAGAGTCAGATAATATTAATTAAGTCAACTCTGAGTTCATCAGTTACTCCAATTATCCCAACAGATAATTCTCAGAGCACACTGGAACCCAGCTGATCTTAACTAATATTATTTAGAGCATTTCATTGAACACGGGGTATTACATTGCGGTTGATGTCCATTGCGGAAAATATGCATTTAAGTAAGCTCATCAAATCCATGGTTGGGACACCTTCTCAACATCGACTTGTATCGCTTCCATGCTTCACAAAGTGATTCACTTGAACCTTGAGTATACACAACAATTTTTGTTTGGCCTCCATAAATATGTTGTGGGGGAAGAACATATCAAGAAATTTTTCTTCAAGTGCATTCCAATATGTCATAAGTTGAGATGGTTGGTCTAAGTACCATTCTTTTTCCTTCCCGGTCAATGAATGAGGAAACAATCTCATGAACACTTGTTCTTCTTCTTCTCCAAGAGTTCTGAGTATGTCAAAAAACTCATAGAACTTGGTGAGGTGAGTGTATGGATCTTCATGGTCAATTCCAGAAAAGGTATTTGCATACAAAATTTGAAGCAATCTAGTCTTCATCTATGGGTTTCTTGCATTATGTGCAGGTCTAACAATGTGAGCATTCCTTCTTGGGCTGTTAATACAAGGCATTCTAACAACTTCTGGTTCAGCCATGACTTCTTCAGGTATAAAAGTTGTTGAAGAAGTAGATGTAGAAGTTCCTTCTTGTTGATTCCCTTGTCTAGATAGCTGCTTTCTCCTTTTGTTTCTGCTGTTGTCTTCGAGTTGTCCTTTCAATTTCAGAATAAAAAATATGTTGATTTTCCGATATACTTTCTCGCATAAACAAAATTTTGAAATCCTAACCACACAAGCGAACAAACAAGACATGTAACAAATATAACAATATGCAAATTATAAAAGTGTAAAATTACTTAAAATAATAGAAATTGATGTTATGCTTGTAATATCTAAACGTTAATCCCCTGCAACGACACCATTTTGATAAAAGTGTATCGACAGTAAGTATTGTTTGTATCATCTCCACAAGAATTAGTGCGATATCACTGCCGTTCAACAATTAATATGATTTTAAGTGAAAGAATTCAAAATGTCTGGTTACAGAAATTAGCGGAATGTAGCAACGATAGATGTTAAGAAAAGAACAGGTATAGAAAGTTGTTAGGATTAGATTTTATTAACCTATTTCACATATAGCCAACTGATCTAGCATGTGAACCTGAGTTATTCATCACTATCATCACGTATCGCTCATCAACGTCGTTTATGTCTAAACGGTGATGTGGGTTTTACCGAATTATTTAATCGATGATCTCTCTATCTATTAAGCAATACAATAGTATTAAGTCTCGATACAAGTGAATATCAAACCCAAATCTATCTCTAGACTTTGGTATTTAAAAGATGGTGATCTTAGGTCAAAATTTTAAAGATATTTCTCAATAATGATTCAAACCCATAAAATTAACATGTAAACAAAAATAACAAAAATATTGATTCATAACTAGTTCACATAACAATGATTAGAAGAGATACATATGATTTCAGTTAATTACATCCAAATCTGACCAAAGAAAATTTAGCTACACATCATCATGGTAGCTTGATTCGTAAGAAAAGAAAAGAGATGAATAAGCATCAAGGTTGATTAATCGACTATTGTTGCGTATTTAGCTTCAATTCTTCTAATTCTAGCGTTCTCTCTTATTTTCTCTGTATTTCTCCTTCAACAAATGATATCACCCCTGGCTTTCACACTTTAAAAGGTATTTATAGTGGTCTAAAAAGTAGATTCACGCTCAGCCCAGGTTTGCTGCAGTCAGCACAGATACCAAACAAAATACTTAAACAACCACAAACCACACTCAACCAAGGAAATGGCGCTCAATGTGCGTGTGCTGCCAATCCGCGCTTAGTGCATGTTCTTTTTTTCTCCCTTTCATGCTTTAATCTGCACTGAGCCTAGAGCCTGGTGGCCTAAACATGCTTCAGGATTGATTGGTGAAGCCATTTCTTTTATAATTTGATGACCAAAGCTCTTTCTATTCATAAATACCTACAAAATAAGTTGGATTAAAGTAACTTATGTAAGATCTACTTGATAACCTACTAAAGCTATTATTTACATCAAAGTTGGAGTTTTGATACATGAATCTTATGAAACAAGCTAATAAATGCTAATTTCCATGTAAAAATCTACTAATATTTGACACTTAACAGCAAGCTTGGACTTACTCATGTTATTATCTCTACCACCATTCTTTTCCTTTTTCTGACTTCTCCAAAGACTCTAGTAAAGGCAACAATACAAATAGTCACAATAGCTTATCATCAAACTTAATACCAATTTATGATATTTGATCATGTAGCCTTGAAAATCACTTAAGTGATTTGATATAGAAATTTCATCCTTATACTTAAAACTTATAAAGCTATTCAATAAGAGTAATTTATTATTCTCTAGTTTAGTGAAATATAAAGACTCTATCTTTTCTTACAAAGTTTTTGCATCTGTCACATTAATAATATGATTATAATCAATATCTTCCACATATTATCGAATGAAACCATATATTTGTCTCATTAACTTGTTGATGCTTAAATTCTCTAACTTTTTAGGACAAAAATAGGAAGGTGCATTTTCTTCACAAATAAAAAATTCTTCATCTTGCCCATCCATAAATGATGATTAGTGTCATTGAAGCTCGCATCTCTATATTCATAGTTGCCTCCACCATTCAAGTCAAATCAGCCTTTAACCAAGAGTGCTAATGTCACTCTAATTAAAACTAATATAAAACACAATAAAATACTACACACAACGAGTACAAAATTCATAGCTTGCAAGAACTTTTGAGGAGATAGATATGTGACAGCAAATATAGCAATTGAAAGGGAATAAAGAACACCAAAAGCTTTAATGTGTAAAATCTCCTAAAATAAGGATAAAAGCAATGAGTCATCCAAACTAAAAAATTACAACAAACTATCAAATAATGCACAAATAATACCAACAACAAAAATTTACAATTTAAAAATGAGGAGACAAAATATCTCTTAAAAAACATAGTACATTGTAAATGCGATATCTCTTAAAAAACATAGTACATTCTAAATGCGATATCTCTCTACTCATACCTTTTATTTCGACAATCTGAATGAGAAAATTATAGCACCGTGTTTCATGAACCTTTTGTCTAAAAATTAATTAGATCCAACCGTAAAAAATGTGAATAGTGACTGGTTTTTTCTTAATGTTTTTTTATATGCTATAACCCTTTAATAATCATCTCCTCTTTAAAAGAAACAGCTAATATATTTGAATCTTTTACGCAGGAAATCCAATACCTAACACAAACCATCCTCTTATATCATTGTGGCCTCTAGTTGAATTGAAATCACCAAACATACAAGAATCCATCAAACAATTTTTTCACATGGTCCATATACATTCAATATCATAAATTTTAACTTCCTTATGCCCCACCTCAAGAGTCACTACCACAAATCCTTGCCCTTGAAATGAGCCAATGAGAATTTCTTAATAAGTAAAAAGTTAGTTATTTTTATCTATAATGATAGCCGTATAAACATTAAAAAAAACATTACTAATAAACATGAAGTTCTAACTCCATTACAATTACCAAGGATATCACTTAAAATAAGATATCAAAAGCTGTCTCTTATGCCTAATAATTTATCTCTCAGATTGCAAGACATACAAATAAAACTAGATTTCATATATTAAGAAATTCTAATATATTATTGACTCTGATCATCTTACAAGAACTTTGTTTTGGAAGGACATGCTTTTCTTTCTCACCTCTTCTTTGTTGCTTTATGCCTTTTTTTGTCTCCCTTTGTCTTTCTTTAACTCCTTTTACTTTTTGAATTTTCTTTTTCTCCTCTTCTGTTTTCTTTTAGCTTTCTTTTTCTCTGATTTTCTTTGCATGAACCGGATTCTTATTCCAGCACTCTAGCTAGCTCTTGCAGTTTTTGAGACTTCAAAATGATTTTTGCGCATAAGAGAACATCAAAATGACCTGCCCAATGTGAATTCCAAATTTGGATTCTGAAGACTTGTTTCTGAAATGTTTGAGGAAGTGCTTCCATCTGATGAATTTCTTTCATTGCTTAGACACTTTGGATCCATTCCCTTTGTAAAACAAAACAAAAGCCAATGATTATAACTGCAAGCCACATAATATATATCCTGAAGTTTTATATATTTCCTCTCTCAGCGGAGTCGTCTTAAGTTTTCACAGTTAGCCATAGTTTAGTTTAATTGTGGCAAATCAAATATGGGATCCTAATTTGTCAAAGTATAACCGTGACAACTATTTTATAAGACTATTTTAGACACAGTTTAATCATGTCACATTTTAGATTATAAGATAATTAATTCGTCTTACACGCTTTCAAAAACGATCAAACATGCATGAATTCTAGGTTACATGTGACTTGGTCTAGCTTTCTTTATTTTAATGTCACTAAGTCAAATGCTTATAGGTTTAGATTTCTTGTATCTTTTGAAGTAGGCCATCATTCATTAAAGCTTTATACTTTTTCCATCAAAATTAGTACTTTAGCCTTGTAATTAGCAAATGTAAAAACGATATGTAGGTCCACCATTTGAATATGTGAAGGACAAAGCAGCAAGCTTTTGAAAAGTATTTTCTTTTTCTCTCTGTATAATTTCCATGATTGGATGAAAAAGTAATCAAATAAACCAGTGTTTCTAGTATAGCCCTTGCTATAAATAAATCAATGGTGAATTCTTATCATTTTCTGACATACATATTAAAAACATCATTATCTAAAGATAACTTGAAAAATAAAGAGGGCATTGAGTAAAATATTCACAAACCTCAAGAGAAGGCAAGTTTCCAACAGATTCTACTGGCTTACCATGCAACCAAGCTTCCCTGTTACTACCAAACACATGGAGAGAGTATTTCCCATTAGTGGAAACCATTCATACTGACCAAAGAAAGCAATCTTTTACTGTCTTGTTTATAGACCCTTTTACTTATTCTGTTCATTCAGCTAAAGTTTTATGCCACATGTAATAGATGAAGCACGAACATTAACATGTTGGCCAATAATAATTTTAAAAAATAAATAAATTGAACTCAATTATAAATGTAGGTTGGTGTCATTGTTTGACACCTATATGCACATGTAGAGTAAACATGTTTTATACTGTCATTTAATCATATAATGGAAAAAATGTTAATAGATTTCAATAATATTCAATTTAGCACCAAAATTTCTAACTAGGGTCTACCAAGAACTTAGCTTTAGGGCTAAGTTATTCAACTTTGTGCCCCCATCTAATAATAACCTTATGAATTAGCCCCACAAAATCCTAAGGAAAGAGATATACTTATATATCATAATCCTGTTTTTTACTAGCTTTTCTCCCACTAGCTAGTAGCTAATAAAGAATATATTATTACTCTATCATATCATGGAATTTGGGTGCTTGTGTTTTGAGGACACACAAAAACATAACAAAGTAAACTTGAATCGTTTATTCCTTTTATGAATTTTCGTGCCTATATGTTTGTATATGTGATATGCTAATATGAATAAGACATGCATCAATTTCTCTCATATAAAAAGCTACTTTATAACATTATTACCTTGAAGAAATGCTCCAAAAGCCATGATTTTCTTTATCTTGATTAGTAGTAATTTCTCTAGGCAACTTAACCTGTAGATCATTAGACCTTGTTGAAGAGTTTATGTCAAACATGAAGTCTTCAGAATTATCTCCTGATGAACCATTGTCATATATATCAAATTTCCCTAATCATCAACAAACTATGATTAAGAATAATTTGCTTAAGTTTCTAACTAATTACAAAATGAACATACTTCACTAACCTGGTGATGCTGCTCTATCAGTAATTTTAACAGTCCTGTACATCTAATAAAAAATTATAGTTAATCATTAACACCAAAAAGTAATTAATGCATAAAAATAAAAATACTATGGTGAGAATTGAGGTACAGTACATGTGGAAGGAAGCATTGAAAAATGTGACTAACTATGGTTAAAGCTGAAACATGACAGAGAAGAGATCATTGAGAAATGATGGTGTTTATAGTACTTTCTCATTTTCTTGTGCAAGCAGTAACATAACATAAAAGTAATATATCTAATACATAACGTGGCCAAGACTCATTTTGAATTTCTGAGACTTTGTCTTACTCCTTTTTAGAAATTGCTATACTGTGTACTGTACTGTGTAGTGTACTCTCTCTCTTTTTCTTTCTCAGTCACTTCAATTTTTCTCTTTCAATTTGGGTGGTTCATTCTTCCATGCAAAAAAGCTGTTTTGTTACTAGCTTGCAGAAACAGACTCAACAGGTGTCTAATATAAAAGCAATTTTTTGCTAAGGATGTGAAAGACTCTCTGTAAGAAAATTAAATTAATTAACCATTGGAATTTGAAACTTATCTATAAATTAACAACTCCTTGTACTATAGTGTATATTTTATTATTATTATTATAATTCCATAAAGGCACCATTAAAACACGCTATCAGAACCGTACCATATTCAACCTCACAGTCACAAGAATTACAAAACCGTCTGCAACCAGAAAATGATATACGATTATTCATTGTTTTTGTACTAAATAATAAATTGTAGTTAATTTACATTGCGACAACTATTGTATATGTCATACCGATCGAAATCGTAAAAGTCTTTATAGGAACCTCACAACACTACTTAACATATTAACAACATCATAATCAAATCATAATGTAATTATAGTTACAACTAAACTATGTTCAGTGATCTATTGCAATAAAGGAGTTGAAGATAATTATACCTGCAAATGAGATTTAACATGTGATAGGGTTAGATCCTTGACATCCATAAGTTCAAGAACTGATTTTGGTGTAGCTCCTAAAAAATCAAAACAAATGCATGTTTATATAATCACAGTGAATTTTCAGAAACTCTAGGTTATACTGTGATTGACTATAAAAAAAAGCACTTACTTTCATGGCCACCTAAAAGCTCAACAGCATGAACAAAGCGATTGTGAAGAGTGGAAGTCCAACGCATCCTTGGAGCTCTCATGCTACGTTTTGAAGGAAACCGCGGTAATAACTTTGATCTCATGAAATTTTGAGAATGAAAAGTTGTGGAAATTGAAGAATTAGCAGCAGGATCAAAGGATGGTTGAGAAAACAATGCAACAGAAGAAGAAGGAGGAGGAGGAGGATTTTGATAAAGTGGAATTCCTCTTATAGGTTTTAGAAACCCTAGTTCTTCACTTAGGCTTCTTTGGTAATTGTTTTGGTTTTGATGAAACGGTTGAAAAGAGTGAGTTATGAGATTGTTGAGGTTTGAATTTGAAGCAGTAGAAGAAGAAAAAGAAGATAATGGATTTGTGAGAGAAAGATCAAAGGTGTTTGATTTTTTCCAAAATCTTAAATCCATTTCTTCTTCATCTTTATCATCTGAATTTCTTCTCCATCTTGATGATGTTTGTATGTTGTTTGGAAGACTGATTTCCAATGATAAATCTGGTTGTGCTGGGAATAGCTCCATCCAAACAAAGCACAACTTTATGTAAATATATATATTTATATATGTATAGATATACTTACACTGCACTTTTCTTCTTGATCTTCAGTTCTATAAGTTCTTCTACCTCAATATTTTCTTCTGTTTCACAAACTGTATATATAGGTAAACTAGATGACAATTTTTATGGAAAATAATGGCGGTTGATTAGAGTAGTTATTTAAGAAGTAGGATAAATTTCATTGAGTAGTTGTAGAGCACAGGGATTTTGAGATTTAGAAAAGTGAAGAAAAAAAAAGAGAAAGAGAGAGAATACAATGAGTGTGAAATGAATGGTTTGTGTGAGGTATATGTGAGAAAATGACACTAGAAGAAAGAAAGGACTATAGACTATGGTATAATAAAGAGAGAGAGAATTGATTTTGGACGTTGAAAATTTACTTTCACATGTTTTGTTACAATTTTTTTACAATTTTTTATGTTTTTAAAATTGATTATACTTTATATTTGTAGATTTTGACATAATTTTTATATTAAAATTTATTATTTAACATTGCAAAAATTTAACTTAACATAATCACCTTAGTTTCAATTTTTTTGAAAATTAATATATGACATTAAAGTAGATTAATTTAAAAGGATCCATTCATAACACAAAAATTGTTAATGTTAAGTAAAATTTGAATCTAAAATTTTGAAAGAAATATATTTTCAGAACCTAAATTTTCAACTTATTTTTATTCTTAAAAAATCAATTTGTCTAAAATTAATTTTTTGATTTTTTTTAAAAGGAATAATCAAACATGCACTTAATGTTGACTAGCTACGAGGTGTAGGGTACTATAGGGTGAGAAAGGGAGAAAAAGGCATAATGTTATTGAAGGAAGTGAAATTATAAGATAAAGAGAGGAAGAAAAGAAAAAGGTAATTAAGTCTATAACTTTTTTTTCCTTTTTATGAAATTACTCTCTTTTGCTCTTTCTTTTCTTTGGATTAAAAAATTGAAAAGGTGGAAAATTTTCTTGTAACTTTAACGTGTGCATTGTTCTTCTGCAACTAATTCTTAACTTTCTAATACACCTGTACAGAGAAACTCTTTACCCACTAGGGCTCTTGGCTCTTTCACATTCCTATAAAAAGCAATAAATATAGAATTTTAAAGTCACATGATTGCTTACAAATTTTCAATAGTTAATAAGCTAATTATGAACCACTCATTGTGGTCGTGATAAAACCTTAATCTTTAGTACAAATCAAATCATGTTCATGTATTATTCTTCAGTTAGTTTGTGTTACTCTCGACCCAAATTTTATGATTTTTTTTTTGTCATTCTTGAATCAGCACTATTGAATACTACTCCCTCTAAAATAAATGTCATTTTTAATTTTTAATATAATTTTAGTTTTTATTTTTCAATTATATTCTCTAATAAATATTCTTTAATGTGCTATTTTTTTCACCTTGTATTATAAAGATAATAAAAACACACCAATAATAAATAAAAATAATTTGGTAAAATTGTCATTCTCTCTCTTTCAATTATCACATTTTTTTAATCTTGGCGAAAATGTCAAATATGACACTTATTTTTGGACTGAGGGAGTAATGTCTTTAACTTTACGATTAGGAGTGGCAAACGTGTCAGCCTGTCTGACATGTCTGTTTTACCCACACTTTTTACAAGACAGAACAAGGTTTTATACTTGTAACCTCTAATATGTTCACCCCAATGCGTCAGATTCTTTTTGCGGATGCGGGTATTAACATAAAATTTATAATTTTTAGGTTTAAAATGTGTAATGTCCGAGACAAATCAAGGTTTTGGGCTCGCACTCTCAATTATGTCCGTCCCATTTTTATGTGAACTTTTGTGGGGCGGGCGTTCCCGTTTGCCACCTCCAACTCCAAATTTAGTTCAGTATTCAAGATGAGTGTAGTAAAAGTGAAGATCTGAAAAAGTCTACCTTGAAAATTTTGTGTAATGGATTTTATGTTTGGAGTGATTGCAATCAGTTTGGGCCTTAGCTCTTTGGGCGTGTGATCGACTCAGAACATTTGCCCTCGAGGCTTGTCAGGCATTAATGAGTCAGGGATCACTTTAGCGGTCATGGTCGACCTTTGAGAAAGTTGTTCCCTTCAAACCAGAAGTGACAAGTGGTTGTTGAAAGGGCTTAACAAATGTTTCATAAATTTGTTAATGAAAAAATTTCTAATTATGGGAGTGCATCTGAGACAAATAAATGGATGTCATATATTCGTAAATTTAATGTAACAACTTGTACTAAATAGGACATAAGTAAAAAAATTTCTTTTATATAAAATCCAAGGATGATCATAGTACAATACAAAATAATGGGGTTATGGTAGAGATTGAATATATATACTTCACTAGTTCCAAACATAAGAATCATATAATGACATTTAAACCATACTTTAGGGTCATTGACCATATTTGAGAGGTATGTATTCAAAATGTCTTTGTTTAAATGCAAGTGGGTTAACAGTAATATTGGTGTATAAATTGATGAGTTAAGATTCATATTGGTCGGCCTTCGCAAGATAGCTTATATGAACGAACCATTCATCATGGCATCCCAAGCAAAACAAGTGTTTTATGTCACTGACACTTCTGACAAAAGATGATCAATTGTTCTTCAAGGAAACCACATTTCTCATAGTGATTAAAATCAAGATTTAAATTTTTATATTCATGAGACCTCTTTTTTTGCGACACATGTGCCTACTTCGTATGAAGAAGTTTATATATGTAATATACATGTTATTCGATATGGTCATGAAGAAGGCATATGGGAGAACTAACAAGTAGATATTTTTTATTGTTTATTCATAATTTATTAGTAGTATTTGTTATAATTTCTTAGAGTTTTAGCATGTGTACCAACAAGTGTTATACTAATAAGTATTATACTTTAAATTATAGGTGTTTAGAGACAAGACACCAAAAGACTTCAGTCACGTTATGAATCTTGCTTACTTCAGAATAATGAATCAAGAGTGTTACACTCTAATTTTGACCCTAAATTTCCGCCCATACATATCATAGCATTTTCATCATTTGTGCATCATATCCATTATTCATGTCATCTAACCATTGTGCATACAAAAATACATGTCTTTTGCTTTCATTTTCTTGTTGCCTAAACTCAGATCTTGCAGGATCGAATCAAGGATCGGGCAAAGTTGTTAGGTCAAGAGTGTGTGCGCTGTGGTTCAAAATTCAATGAAAATTTGACCTAATCTTGGTCAAACAATTTGTTTTCTTCTGTATCAAATGATCGGGCTGAGTCAAATTCATCAGTGATTCATGATTGAAGAATCATCAAAGCAAGCTCACCTTTGATTAGGGTTTGGTGCAGTGACAACACAGTTCATATCTCAAGTCACCTGTGTTATGGATCATTGTGAAGGCAAGAAAGTGACATATTCAAGTGAGTTCTGTATGAAAACCACATGTGATCAGGATTAGAGTTTTGTGCAAGAACAAGGTTCAAGTACCTGATAAAGTCAAGTTGCATAACCATTAAAAGTTGAGGCATTTGGCCAATATCTCAAGTCGTTTGCAAGTCCTGGTTGTAACACCCTTATAAACCCCACGGAAAATATATGAATTTAATCAAAGTAAATTTTCATTCATTCACAAAAGGGTGTCACACATAATTTCAAAACATCAAAACACCTGTCATGCTCATAAACACTTCAATAATTAATCATGCATTTTCAAGATTTCACTTGCATGTAGCAGCGAATTCAATTATATAATAATTTTCATAAAGAAACATTTGTGTATATCACGTAAACCAACATCGTTTAAGCGCTAAGGACAACATCATAATATTCCAATGAATATAAACACGTTTATAGAGTACATAATGTATATCTTAAACACAACCCAAGCGATCTCAGTGTTACATGACCAGAGCATGACTCGACCCAACATAATTAAATCACTAAACAGCTACACCAATAGAGACCTCGCAACTACAAGCAGTACTACTCCTTGATACATGTACGATGTCATGTAGGACATCATTCCAGCAGAAGGGTGCGAAATATTATCATAATAACAATGCATATAATCATATATAAAATGCATAAGCAAAGAATACATATATTCAACATTTTCTCACCACAATTCATTATAATCATCATAATGTATATATAAACAAACATGGATAATTACCAAGCATATTCATCATGCACATATCCATGAATCTCAACATTCCACATAAACATACACATATTATGTTTACTCACCAATTCACAATTACACATTCACAATTCTCAAATCAACAATTCATGCTCATAAGCATACTTTCATACAATAATCACATATTCACGAGTCTCAATTACACAAGTAATGCACATACGCATGTTCCACAATTCTTACCATACTTCATCATATACTTCACAAAGCTTACATATATTTATATAGGCAAATATGGACAATCATCAAACATATCCACAATTCTCAATTACACAAGTCATGTACATACACCTATGCATAACTTCATACAACAATCATATATTCATTCCATGAGACTCAATGCAACTCAATGCAACTCATGCCATGTGGTACCAACACTTGTTATCATTTTTCGGTTTTTACACTTAAATCGGGTCCACTCTTCTAGACCGATAACAACAAAAACCCATCCTCTAAGCTTTCAAACCCACTTTTCTAGGCTTGGGACAAGTCACTAGTCTCCACAAAATTAACAAGCATTGCCTCTTGACTAAATGATGCATATGCAATCAACATCCAAATGCACTTAAGACCGTTCTCGCATCTTAATCTCATGCATTCAAATAATTCATCACTCAAGAATTATAACATGATTGCACACACAACATATTCATATTCAACAACAACATATTCATCAAGCAATGCACACATATTCACAATATGTTCTCATGCATTATTCACAACATCGCATACAAACAATATGCATTCATAATTCAATATCATCACCACCTTTCAAGAAATGCACACATATTCACAATA